CCCTCCCTCTCTCTCACACCTCCCTGGCCCCGTCCAGCCTCCCTCCCTCTCTCTCCCCCTCCCTCACACCTCCCCGGCCTCCAGGTGCTGCGAGGTCCATTTCTTGGGGACCTCCTCCATCTTTGGAAACCCCCCCCACACCACTTCGCCTGGTCCCCAGGACTGTCCTGCCCTCCCCCTCCCTCACCCAGCACACGGGTGTGCCTCTCACTGAGGGGCTGACTCTCCACGCGGGGGAGCTTACTGAGGGCAGGAATCCCCACTGCTCTGCCAAGTCCTGTCCTTAACGACTGACCAATCCCAGGCCAAACCTGGGGTTGCTTTACAACGTAATAAACTTTAAAAAAAATCAGATTTATGGGTTTGGCAATTATAGAACCACTGGTGGGTCATTATTTTTTAACCATAAAATTAAAACACTCGGAAACTGCATCTGAAATCTCCGGGCTGATAGTCCAGAAACGCTGCTCACCAGCCGTACGTTTTCTCGGGCCCAGGAATAGGGTCGTCAAAGAAAGAGTCCCCTTCCAGGTCGTCTGCATCCGCACAGGGGCCGGCTCCATCTGCGCCCTCCGCGGTTCTGGGGCTCAGGAGCGCCCCGACTGTGGCTTCCTGGGGCAGCAGGTGAGGACTGCCCCTGCTCCTCAGCTCCGACGAGGCGGCGCTCGTGTCGCTCTGACTGGCCTCGCCGCTGGCCTTCTGGAGGGACGGACAGAGAGGTCTGCTGAGGGGACCCTGAAGAAGTCCCGTGTGTGTGTGTGTGTGCAGCACACACGTGTGTGCGCAGCCTGCAACAGCGTAAACCGTCACAAACTCAGGGCAATCCTGTCATTTTTTTTTTTTTTACTTCATCCCCAAGCTTCCAAACATGGCCAACTTCCAAAGAAGAGAAAAACGTATTCCATTCCCTTCCCCTTGCTATGTGCACCTCTTGTGTAAACAGCCTCTCAATTCCTCCTACTAACACGTCATGGCTTCCTAACTTACCTTAAATTAACACATGTTCAACTTGAAATTGGAGAGGGCATTATTACAGGAGAAAAGGAAGAGTCTTTCACACAAATGACCCAGGCGCCGAGGTGACCGTCAGAGAGCAGCAGTTGTCCAGCTGGCGTCACACCCAGTCAAAGACAGCCCCCGACAGCCCTGTCTGTGGCTCCCAGCGTGGCGCCCTGGCCCTCCGCTCACGCACACCCGGGCACACACATTCCCCTCGTGCCATGGCTGACGTGAGAAGCTCTCAAGCACTCCTGCCGGCCCAGGCGGACGCCCCGTCAGCCCCGACCATCCCTGCCGGCCCAGGCGGACGCCCCGTCTGCCCCGACCATCCCTGCCGGCCCAGGCGGACGCCCCGTCAGCCCCGCCCCGACCATCCCTGCCGGCCCAGGCGGACGCCCCGTCAGCCCCAACCATCCCTGCCGGCCCAGGCGGACGCCCCGTCAGCCCCGACCATCCCTGCCGGCCCAGGCGGACGCTCCGTCAGCCCCGACCATCCCTGCCGGCCCAGGCGGACGCCCCGTCAGCCCCGACCTTCACCTTCTCTTCTTGACCAGAGTTCTTGTGACTTTCAGACATGTTGTATGAATTGTAACAAACACAACATAATGCTAGTAGTAATAAAAGCAGCTACCACTGTCGGACAGCATTCAAATGTGTCTCTATCGACACCTCATTTAACCCTCAAAACAACCCTCTGGCATGGGCTAGGCTGTTTTCACTGTGGATATAAAAAGGAAACAGAGACCCGTCACTTGTCACGGTGCCCAGCTACACCGGGGTCAGTATCAGCCACAGCTTGGTTCCAGGGTCCATTGTCACATTGCACTAGTAGGCTGATCTACACGAAGCGGCTACTGGCCAAGCTTCAGCCTTCCACGCTAAAGAGAGCGCTGCTGTGTGAAACACCTGTAGATCTAGCTCCTGAAACAAGAAACCTGGTGTAGCCCCACTGAACTATAAACTGCAGAACCTCACACAGGTCAGTTCCTTAGGCCTCAGTTTCCTGAAGAGTGGACGACATTAGTATATTTCAAACCAAAAGGATTAAGAAAGAAGGACTGGATGGGGTGGGGGGGAGGACTGGATTGGGGGGCTCGATGGGTGGGAGGGAGAAGGGGTGGACGGGGCGAAGGGCTGGGGGGAGGGCTGGTCGGCAGGGGAGACCAGAGGCAGTGACCACGGGAGCAGGGGTGGCAGGGGCGCTCTCCAGGCCCTGCTCCACTTCTCGTGTGTGCACAAAGTGCACTACCTGAGACGTGTTCACATTTCCTTTCTCCTTCTGTGGGAAGGTTTATTCACTTGAAAGTCAGAGCTCCAGAGAGAGAGGGAGAGAGCTCTTCCACCTGCTGGTTCACTCCCCAGATGGCTGCAACGGCCAGGGCGGAGCCAGGCTGAAGCCAGGGGCCAGCAGCCTCCCAGGTGGGTGGCAGGGGCCCGAACACCGGAGCCACCTTCCACTGCTTTCCAGGCATGGAAGTGGAGGAGCCGGGACAGGAACTGGCACTCACAGCGATGCAGCATCACAGGCTACACAGCGTGGGCCCCAATCTTCACGCTGGTTCAAAGCCTTCGTTAACTGGTGAGACTCGAGACACTTACTACAGTTTTAGGTCTGCTGAGCGCTGTACAGCCCATGTGCTACTAATGTAAGAAAATTACTCATTATAAGCGGTTATCCAGAACAACAAACACCAAATCATCATCCTTTCAGACAGTATCCGGTATTTTCAAAGAAGCAGAAACTTGACAATCTTCTAACAACATTCTCCACCTGGAGGGAGGACCCCGCAGATGTGGCCACGGGGAGGCAGTGTGGAGTCCGCTGGCTGGCACTGCACAGGAAGGGGAAGGCACCCAGGGAGAGCACACGTGAACACGCAAGCAGGCTGAGGGCTCCACCTACAAGCTGGACTGTTGGCAACCAGCAGGAGCCAGGCAGACACCCCCACGTCCAACTTCTGAGCCTCGACAACAGTGACAGAGGACTTCTGTCGGTTTAAGCCTCTCAGCCTCTCCCTGTTACGGTAGCCGTGGAGACAGTCACTTCTTGTAGCTACAGCCTCTCCCTGTTAGGGTAGCCATGGGGACAGTCATTTCTCTTAACTACAGCTTCTCCCTGTTACGGTAGCCGTGGAGACAGTCACTTCTTGTAGCTACAGCCTCTCCCTGTTAGGGCAGCCATGGGGACAGTCATTTCTCGTAACTACAGCCTCTCCCTGTTACGGAAGCCATGGAGACAGTCACTTCTTGTAGCTACAGCCTCTCCCTGTTAGGGTAGCCATGGGGACAGTCATTTCTCGTAACTACAGCCTCTCCCTGTTATGGAAGCCATGGAGACAGTCACTTCTTGTAGCTACAGCCTCTCCCTGTTAGGGCAGCCATGGGGACAGTCATTTCTCGTAACTACAGCCTCTCCCTGTTATGGAAGCCATGGAGACAGTCACTTCTTGGCTACAGCCTCTCCCTGTTAGGGTAGCCATGGGGACAGTCATTTCTCGTAACTACAGCCTCTCCCTGTTACAGTAGCCATGGAGACAGTCATTTCTCGTAGCTACAGCCTCTCCCTGTTGTGGTAGCCATGGAGACAGTCATTTCTCGTAGCTACAGCCTCTCCCTGTTGTGGTAGCCATGGAGACAGTCATTTCTCATAACTACCGCCTCTCCCTGCTATGGTAGCCGTGGGGATAGTCACTTCTCGTAGCTACAGCGTAGGCTTTGTCTCTTTCGCAGCCACTACAACAGTCATCAATCCCTAAGTAGAGTTCAAGACTAACAAGCTTTATGGGAACTGAAGCTGTAAGACAGCTTTAATGCTTATTTTCTAATACCATACATGGGACCAAGAACTCAGCCACCTCCAGATGAACACAAAGCAGCATTAGAAGTTTCACAGTAGAAAACATTACTAACTTTCTAGTAGCCAAAAATGGAACTGTCACTAGAATGTCTCCTAAATACTTTTGCACTTTATTTGAAAAGCAAAGAGAGAGAAGAAAGAGAGAAAAGAAAGAAAGAAAGGCAGAGAGAGAACAAGCGAGTGCATGCAGAGGGAGAAGACAGGAGAGAAATCTTCCATCTGCTGGTTCTTTTCCCAAATGCCCACAACAGCGAGGCTGGGCCAGGCCGAGACCAGGAGCCTGGAGCTCCATCCTGAGCCATCACCGCTGCCCTCCAGAGCGCGCATGAGCAGGAAGCTGGATCAGATCAACCAGCACTGCACTCGGATACAGAGATGGGCATCCAAGTGCTGCGCCTCATACCCGCCCCTAGAATTTCTGAAGAACCTGGAAAAAGAAGTTTGTTTTTCCTAAGCAATCTGCACTGTTCACAGCAGAGGAAACATCCAAGCCAGAGAAAGGCGCCAGCTCTGACGTGTTCAGAATGTCCCCAGTACTTCCTGCTCTTTCCCAGCCACGCCTCTCCAGCCAGCCCTTCTCCCGCCCCAGCCTGCCAAGGGCAGTTTCTCGCCTACCACTTTATGAAGTATTAAGAAAAGGGATTTTTGCTAATTATGACATACACATTTAAGAAGTTTAACTTGCTCACCTAGAAAAGTAAATACTGTAGAATTATAGAACCCACAAACATTTCAACTTCTCTAAAGAGCCAGATTCTAGAGAACCAACCAATTCCTCAGACACAGGACAGGACAAGGTCTCTGGGTGACAAGCCCTGAGGTGACCCTGAGCACTGCCGCTCTGCCGCACCCTGTGCCTCTGCCCTGTCCAGCCGGGAGCAGCCCGCAGGAGCCGATGGCCAATTCTAGCACAGCAGACTGGGGCCAATGGCTGCCCAGGAAGGCAGGAAGTGCTGGACCATGTGGTAGGAATGAGAATACTTGGCATTCGAAAAACCCTGAAGTAAACTCAAAAGACACAAAAAGCAAACACCCCAGAAATACCCAAGGTACTTCAAAAAGAATTTAGAAAAATGGAATTAAAACATAAATTTTGGTGCAAAAAAACATTGAAATTTATGCATAATTTTCTGATAACAGGCCTTTTACACCAATCTTTTAAAATACCTTCCCACACAAAATGTGACCATCATCACTGCACTAAATGAACACAAACCTGGGCTTATCCTAGAATTGTGAAAACAAGGAACAATGCATTAAGAAATGCTATATTTTTAAGAATTCAAAGCAATGAGTACCTCAGTACACATTAATTTTAAAACATCAGAAAATTGATAATAGAAAAGACTCTTTTTAAAGATTTTATTATTGATTTATTTATTTGAGAGGTAGAGTTACAGACAGTGAAAGGGAGAGACACAGAGAGAGGTCTTCTTTCCGTTGGATCACTCCCCAAATGGCCTCAACAGCCAGAGCTGTGCCGATCCAAAGGAGCTTCTTTCTGGTCTCCCATGTGGGTGCAGGGGCCCAAGCACTTGAGCCATCTTCTGCTGCTTTCCCAGGCCACAGCAGAGAGCTGGATTGGAAGAGGAGCAGCCAGGAATTGAACCGGCACCCATATGGGATGCTGGCACCACAGGTGGAGGATTAACCTATTGTGCCACGGCACTGGCCCCGAAAGAAAAGACTTACAGGGCTGGCGTCGTAGCATAATAGGTTAAGCCACCACCGCAACGCTGCCATCCTACATGGGAGACGGTTCTAGTCCTGGCTGCTCCACTTCTGATCCAGCTCCCTTCTACAGCCTGGGAAAGCAGCAGAAGATGGCCCCTCTGCTTGGGGCCCTGGACCCATGTAGCAGACTTGGAAGACATTTCTGGCTCCTGGCTTTAGCCTGGCCCAGTCCCAGCCATTGTGGCCATTTGAGGAGTGAACTATCAGATGGAAGATGGATCTCTTCCTCTCCCTTTGTAACTTTGCCTTTCAAATTAAAAAAAAAAACAAAAAACTTTAAATATTAATTCAACATGGTGATTAAAAAGCATCTGACTCTATATCAAACACAAAAGACATGTAATATTTAAGGTTTTTACCACTTACTTGGGAAAACTGAGTAGAAGATACCACCAAAAGGTGGCTGTAATTTTTAGACAATTAGGACAATGTTACAACAAAATGGTACACAACGAAATAAATGACCACAGATGATATCTGAGAAAAGTGTTAATATATATACACTTCCAAATTCTTAATGTATATTAAAGAAATGTCTTGGGGGCTGGCACTGTGGCACAGTGGGTAAAGCTACCACCTGCAGTGCCGGCACCCTATATGAGAGCCAGTTCAAGTCCTGGCTTCTCCCTTCCGATCCAGCTCTCTGCTGTGGCCTGGGAAAGCAGTGGAAGGTGGCCCAAGTCCTTGGGCCCCTGCACCCACGTGGGAGACCTGGAGGAAGCTCCTGGCTTCAGATCCATGCAGCTCCTCCAGCTGCTGCAGCCAATTGAGGAGTGAACTAGTAGATAGAAGACCTCTCTCTCTCTCTCCCTCTGCCTCTCCGCTCTCTGTAACTCCAACTTTCAAATAAATAAATACAACTTAAAAAAAAAAAAAAAAGCCACTGCCTGCAACACTGGCATTTCATATGGGCTCCAGTTCAAGTCCCAGCTGCTCCACTTCGATCCAGCTCCCTGCTACTGAGCCTGGAATAGCAGCAGAAGATGGCCCCTGTGTTTGAGCCACTGCCACCCATGTGGGAGAGCCCTAGAAGCTCCTGGCTCCTGGCTGAGGCCTGGCCCCGCCCAGCTCTGGCAGGTGCAGCCACGGGAGGAATGACGCAGCAGATGAAGATCTTTACAAACACTGAGAAGCACTCAGCGCTCCTGGCTCGGGCTCCAGAGCTCAGTGGTGAGCAGCACACTGGCCTCCTGCCTCTGGTGAAGCCCCCTGCACCCCTGGCCCTCCCTGGCCACCGGTCCATGTCTGCATGACAGGCGGGGTCCCACCTCCTGAGAGCCCGGCTCCGGCGTCCTGCTCTGACAACACACACGAGCACACACAGCTTGACACGCTCAGGTGTTACGGATGTTAAGGTGCTGGGAAGCTGCTGCATGCACACGGTGAAGCAGACAGAGGGCTTTGCTAAGGCTACAAACCGGCAATTCCGGACGCAACACAGCCTCCCCGAGGCCACCCAGAAACCACCAGGGCTACAGGGCAAAGGCTTCAAATGAGCGAGGAAGTCCAGGGCTCAGGAACAACAGAGCGGAAGGGACTGGACGCACAGAACGCCCTCCAGGACATGGGCCCATCCAGACTCTCAACCCCCAAGTCCCGGGAGCAGGAGGCCCCGTCCAAGCTACAGTGCAGACTGAGGTGGGCCCACCCCAGCCACGTCACACGACGCAGAGCGGGAGCTGTCTCTTAGGGCACTTTGGCTCTATGCATGAACTTCCTTCAAATGTTTAACTTCTTTAGGGTCCATGACACCAATAACATTTAAATAAATAAACATTTAGTATTATGAAATATGCTTTTTAAGTTTCAAAAAACTCAAAGAAAGAGATTAAAGCATCTATAAAAAACAAACTTTTATATTCTTGGCTTGCTTTCTGAAGCTGGTCTCCGTGGGCGAGGGCCACATGAGACGTGTGCTGCCCGGCACGAGTACACGGCTTTCACGTGCCAACGCCCCGGGCGGCGTCTTACGTCTTCTCATTCATAAGGAACAGCACAGACGGTAACAGGAATTTACCTCTGAAGTTACTAGCACTGAAGCTGGCTAATACAACCAGTACATCTCTTAAAGTCTTTAATTTTTAAAGTTTTCAATTTAGTGAAAAAAAATCTAGAGACAAGCCAAGGTTCAACACAGCACTAACTGAATCTCACAAAAATTAAATGTTTTATTCTAAACAGACGCAAAAATCCTACCGATAATGTTTCTAAGACTTCTAATACTTAAGTTTTAAAAGCATCTAATCTATTAAAATTTAGTAGATTTAGTCAAATTTGATCTTTAGGGGAGGAAGAAAAAGCAGCCGGGGCCTGACCACTGTGCTGTGTGCTGCGAGGGGTGGCAGGGTGAAGGCCAGCGGGGTGCCGCGGCCTGGGCTGTGGCAGAATACAGACGCCGGAAGGAAACCAAGTTTAACCTCTGAGGAACAATCCCAACTTCTCCAAAAAACAGTTTGATATTTTTCTCGGATAAAAAGCTTGCTAGTATGTGCATTATCATCCATTTAAAAGGAAAATAGATATTGCCAACAAAACAGGAATTTTCTAATTAAAACTGAGAGCACAGTTTTAAAATCTGACACTAGGATTTCCCCTGGATAAAAACTGACACATCATGTCTGTTTCATGGGACCATCAATCCTCGGCACGGGTCAGAGGTGACACTGCACGGAGAGGTACAGCTGGGCCTGCGGGGGCCCAGGACTCGCGGGTCACAGGGGTCTCAGCACAGGCTGCTTTCCCTGGCTCCTCCATTGTTACCTGGTCACCAGCCTTCTGCCCGCTTGTCTTCTTCTTACCTTGTCCTTTATACCTTGGTATCTGAGCACGAGAATAAAAGGACATTTTACCAAAGCGTACAAGTCTTTAAAAATAAACTAACTCATTAACAAACCAGTAAAGATTCCTATCAGAAAATTTCTTAAAAATGGAAGATCTAATTTACATGCTCCCCTTCAAGCCTGCATTTCTGCGTCCTTTATTAACTACTCCTAAAGTGGCTCCACTCACGGCTGACTGGTTTCCACAGGCACTGGCGGCTAGCCTACGCCTGCTCAGCGTCTCGGGTGAGACTCTGGCACACCACGTTAGCTTGCTGCGCTCTAGGCTGCCTCACGGAGGCGCTCCTGAGGAGACCGTGCTGTGGCCGCGTCTGCCCAGCGTCAGGGCCCCAGCGCCTCTGGGAGCTGCGGCCGAGGAGCCACCAGGGAGAAGAGGCAGAGCGAGGGCAGGGAAAGTGCTGGACTCCCGAGTGCACACCCTGAGGACTACGGGGGACCGCGCCTCACAGAGGACCTTGCGGGTCTCTGCGGTTGCCACTGCCACTTGGGGAAATGGAGACTGCAGAAAATGACACAGGCGGCAGAGGTGTGGTGCCCCCTGGAGGACAAATGTTCTCTAGCACCAGAAATTATCACGGCTTCTCCAAGAATCTGGTGCATTTCCAAACTCGCTTAAAACACTTAACATTCATAGGTCTTAAAAAATAAAAATCCTGGGGCAGGTGTTTATCCCCGCAGTTGGATGCCCTGCCCCACCCTGGAGTAGCCGGGTTCGATGCCCAGCTCCTGACTTTAACTTCCTCCCACACACACCCCGGCTCCCAGCGCTGGCCCAGTCTCAGCCATTGAGGGCATCTGGGGGAATGAACTAGAGCTCACCTGCTCTCTCCCTAACAAAAACGAACAAAAAATCTTTCATCAGACAGACTTTGATACTGTATCTTGAGACGCATCCTAAGTTAGTATCGCTAACCTGCTTTAAAAACACTGATCTGCTTAGATCAGAACTCCCTGACCGCTCAGAGAGAGGAACTGACGCTATCTGAGCACATTCACAGCTTCATGGAAAATAAACACCCCCCTCCCCCGCCCCGCGGAGGGGGACGAGTCCTGTCAAGGGCCACAGGGATAGCTACAGCACCACTCACAGGGATAGCTATAGCACACTCGCAGGGATAGCTACAGCACACTCGCAGGGATAGCTACAGCACACTCACAGGGATAGTTACAGCACACTCACAGGGATAGCTACAGCACACTCACAGGGATAGCTACAGCACACTCACAGGGATAGCTACAGCACACTCACAGGGATAGTTACAGCACACTCACAGGGATAGCTACAGCACACTCACAGGGATAGCTACAGCACCACTCACAGGGATAGCTACAGCACCACTCACAGGGATAGTTACAGCACACTCACAGGGATAGCTACAGCACCACTCACAGGGATAGCTACAGCACCACTCACAGGGATAGCTACAGCACCACTCACAGGGATAGCTACAGCACCACTCACAGGGATAGTTACAGCACACTCACAGGGATAGCTACAGCACACTCACAGGGATAGCTACAGCACACTCACAGGGATAGCTACAGCACCACTCACAGGGATAGCTACAGCACACTCACAGGGATAGCTACAGCACACTCACAGGGATAGCTACAGCACACTCACAGGGATAGCTACAGCACACTCACAGGGAGAGCTACAGCACCACTCACAGGGATAGCTACAGCACACTCACAGGGATAGCTACAGCACACTCACAGGCCATCCCACAGTATCCGCTTCAGAACCAGCCTGCCATCAACTTGTTGCATCCTGAATCCTGCTGCAGCTGTCCTGGCAGGGCCACACCCAGTGACCTCGGGGCCTCACACGGCACAGGCCTCACTGCCCACCCTCCCCACAGGGCTCGGGGCCTCACTGCCCACCCTCCTCACAGGGCTCGGGCCTCACTGCCCACCCTCCTCACAGGGCTCGGGCCTCACTGCCCACCCTCCTCACAGGGCTCGGGGCCTCCTGCTCACCCTCCCTCACAGGGTTCGGGGGCTCATTTGCCCACCCTTCTTCACGAGGGTCCGGGCCTCACAACTGCTCACCCTCCCTCACAGGCCTCGGGGGCTTCCTTGCCCACCCTCCTCACAGGGCTCGGGGCCTCACT